ATAGAACCCGATAAACACCGTTTTCGTAGGAAAACATGCAGGGAGTAGGGATCAATGAGTGGGGCTACATAAGCTACCGTTGCCATCAAAAGTAGCTTGTGAAGACCCACATGGGTTTTTAAAACCCTAGTCTTCTGTTTTACGGGGCTGGTGGCAATTGGGGGTTTAATGGTTGGGAAAGGCATGGATAGTGAAGAATGCGTGGGAAAAAAGCGCAAAACGTCGGTAAAATTAATTGCAAGTGCAACAGTTGCTTCTTTTCTAGCGAGATAAGTCGGGTGAATGTAATTGCAAGGCTGGATAGACGAGGAATGGGAACGGTCGTTTTAAATGAACAGACGCAAATACGCCTACTGAAACGAATATAGTAGTTATTTTACTGTGTCTTTCAAAAATGGAACTTCTCACGCTATGATTACCGTAAATATATGTAGGCGGTTACCCGATATACAGTATATAAGTAACTACATATCTAGCAGACATCATGGTTACATCTTTATGTGTACAGCTCTGTACAAATGAAATTATTAACACCGCGCTAAATGGGGCTCGATGTGATAAAAATCCCCTAATTTTATAGATTTTACTTACGGCCTGACCACCTTTGAGGCGTCCACATCCAAGTCCAAACCTGGTACTCGTTGGATAGGTGCTGGTCTGGAGACAACGAAATCACCGCACAAAGATGCTCGTCTTTCACAGTGGCCCGGTCGTATTCGAGGGGATGTTTCTGGAAGAAGCGAAGCGTGCGATTGACAGGACTGTTCGTTTTCAGAGGCCGTCTTTCCGCCATCGCAAGAAAACTCGACAGTTTTATGGGACAGTTTCGAAGTGATTTCGCTGTTGTTAGGTGTATTCTGTGGTACATCACCATTCACCAATTTCGTCCTCTTTGTTGGCATAATTCTGTTGGACGACGTCGTGTACTGGGTCCTGAAGGCTTTTCTTGAGGACTTAGATTGGTTTCGGACAGAGTCAGTGGTCAGTTCGTTTACATCAAGCTGTGTAGATTTAGCCGGCACCACTTCCGGCTCGGACGAAGACCATGCACTGGGCGGCTCTGCGTGCACTGGGGTTTTACAAATAACTCCAGGGGTGAGTCTTGACGGAGCATCAGTGCGTCCATGCGGTGCAACCTCTGTAATCTCACTAAGTTGCAGCCTATCTGCGCTGACTGGGGTTGCACAGACATATTCAGCAGTAGTCTTTGAGGGAGCGTTATTGCGTCCACGTGGGCGGGTAAGGGGAACCACTTCAAGCACTGCATTTTGCCCTGTGTTGGGGAGACGAATATCTTGCTTCTGAATTTTTGGTGTAAACGTGATGCCCTCATGGGCAGCCAGCTGTGAGGTGTGGCGTCTTGCCCAGTTTCGTAGGAGCTTGGATGTAAACAAACAAGAGGCAGTTTCTATCAAAACATTTTAAACAATCAGGAAAGCTGGCAGGCTCTCAATTTCAGATTACCGACAAGAACATTGGAAGATGGAGAGTACTATGTCGGTTTAAAAAGGATCATTTTCCACTGAAGGATCTCTGAAAGAATGAGTATTCGACAAACCCATACGACAGGCCCAGGAGATTTTTTTTTCAATAATTTTTAAGTTTCTCAGTATTTTTACCTAATTTACAGGCGGAGGTTTGATGTAAAGACAAGGCTACGGATGTATGTATAGGTTCCTCATTGACAACCATGAATTACCTGGCTCAGTAGCACCTCGGTCAACGAGTTTTATCCGTCCCGGCACCAAGCTCGTCATGTGAAATGCTCGTCTTGCGAAAGGTAGCCAATCCGACTGCATCAATTAACTGATTGGCTGCAGGCGACCGGGGACCCACGCCCTGTGATCAAGACTTAATGGCGGACATGGGCACACACAAACGCACTGACACTTCATTAGCTGAGCGAAAGCTAGTCAATCGAAGCAAATTTTCCGCGAGTAACTTGCTCGTTACCTGAAATTCTCGTAGATGGACCTGTTCGTCGCCCGAGGTTCCGCTGTACTATTATGAACTTTCATTCAGCAATTTTTGACCGAAAACACAAGTTCACGTCATGAACACATCTTTACTGTCAAGTAATCTGACCTCGTAAACTGATAC